GGGCGGGGTAGGATGGGGCTGGGCGAGGTGCGGCGGGGTGGCAGCAGGGACCGGCGGCAATCGAGGCGGCGCCGGAGGCCGAAGGAAGGCATTCCGAGGCGGCGATCCTCTAATTACGAGCGCCTTAGCCTCGCATAGCCCCGACACGTGACGGACGACGTCCTCACGGCGGCTGCAGCTGCGTGACGAAGAGGGGAGTACTGCTGAACGTCTCTCTCCAAGGAGCTGAAGCTACAAACGAGAGCCAAAGGGTGGGGGGTCGTCCTGGGAAACAACAACGCGTCCTCCCCAGCTGCAGCTCTACGACGGGCGCCGCGATACAGAGGAGATTCGAGAACTTTACATCGTGCGGCGGCGTCACAGCTGCCTCAGCGGGATATCGAATTCGAATCGAGGCGATCTCCCACACCCCAGTCGGCCCATCGCGCCCAGCTCTGCTATAACGCCAGCTCAAATCGATATGGGCGATATGTGATGTGCAGTCGACGGCCCGACTATCGGCGTGCTTATTTCGCATTTCTCGTCGACATCGCGGCAAATCGCAGCGGCATCAGCCGTATGTGTGAGTGATGGCATCGGCGCATCGGCCCCGCACTGTTCGACACGGGACTGGCCGGTCCGGTACGTAAGTCTACGGCAGCAGCGCCTCGAGTTCGGCCGGCTAATGCCACGCCGTGTTCCCCGTGACGTCTGGCCGTCAGGCCGCGGGCCTGGCGCCTGGTCCTGGTGCCCTGCTCTGCTCTGCTCCGCTCCCCCTGCTGCCTCATCCCTCGGACCATTTCCCTTCCCTGTTCTGGCAGAGCGCCACACACCCTGCCACACTGCGAGAGCTAAAGGAGCAAGAGAGGGACTTTCTCAGAGAGTCGTCATCAGAGCAGAGGCAGCCGCGGCGGCGGCTAGACGAGGAGGGAGCGAGAGAGAGGGAGAGAGGTCATTCAAAGACCGGCAAGATTGTCATACAGCCAATTCCGACTGTATGCAAAGTAAAACTGGCGGCGTCCCGCGCTGCGGATACTATGAGGCGCGTGGGCCTTTAGCTGCTGGGCCAGGTCCGGCGCAAAAAAGAGAGAGAGAGAGAGAGAGAGAGAGAGAGCGCGCGCAGCGGCAGGGGTGCATAAGAGCGCGGCGTTGGCAGGAAGTGGCGACGGCGAAGCATCACCGCACACAAAATAAAAAAAAAGAAAAGAGTACCTGACACGTGAAAAAAAATTAATGTGTCATTCTTCAAAGAATGGTACAAAGACAGGTCGTGGACAAATGTCAAATGTCGCGAAAAACAGACAGGTGGCGCAGGTGTGAGTGGCGTGGCGGTGAGAGTGGGGGTGGAGTGTTTGTTTAGGTGGGGTGGGGTAGG